CACTAATTCTTAATTTTCTTACCTTTTCCTACCCTTTATCCTTGCCAACTCAAAGTGAAAGTGCCAGTAAATTGTTTAGTTTTAACATCAGGCTGACGTTTTACTGTCTATATAAGTAATCTGGGTGAATGTGAAAGAAATTCGGACGCGGGTTTTACCTCATATTTACTTAGACTCTTAGTAGGAAACTCACAATCAGGTGTAATTTATGATTTGTTCAATTGTGTAAATAAATGATTGCATAATCTTTTATGAATCAACTTGAACTCGTCTGACGTTCCCTAATTGTGTCACTTCACTTTGCACAGACAAATATTAGAGTAATGAGGAAAACCTTGGTAAAATTTACTCTCATAACTTGTTATGAGAAGATGTAAGGTGAGCTTATTTGCATAAGTAACTCATCCCTTACAAACTGATGATACAATTTTGCCTAACCCTAGTAGAAAATGATAGTGAATAGGTGTTTTAATAGGATTTCTTCAGGGTGTATCAGAAAAACTGATACTCTCATAAAAATTGCCATAAAATTAACAAAGATAAAAATTTTGAAAATGTGGGCGTAATCTTTGGTAGAGGGGATCATTCTGCTTCGAATGACACCAAAATCTTAGTTAACGCTTCACGCTCCAGTGAGCAGGGGCAGTTGGAAATTCACAAAATTCATGTCCTTTGTGCAAGGAAATGTAAGGGTTAAAATATGATCTGTCATATAAAATTAAAMGTTTAGATGGTGTTTTACATGCGCGCCAAGGCATTTTTAAAATAATTAACCCTTTCATGTCCTAACACTGAAACAAAAATATCTCCTTTTTGGGTGGATCATAACCAAGGGTTAACAAACACACGTGAAGTGGCCGTGGACAAGTCAATCCAGCCAACTAACAATACATGTACGTGTATTCAGTGGGTATTACATGTAATTATTCCATAACCTGGTACAAGATTCATGTGATGGTGTGGTCATTTTCTTTAAAACAACATGATCACAAACATCACCTCATCTTATGCAGACAATTGCAACAATTGTTACGAGCCATCTCACTGTCTTCCGCAACGTTAAACAACATACTTCTGGGACCAGCCACAATCTCAACAAGGGGAGGTCTGACCAACAAAGGACCCAATGCACACCAGCCAACATTGAAGCAGTCAGAACCCTCTTCAAAGAGCAACATGCTGGAGAAACATGAAAACCCTAACATTTGGAAACTCCTGTTGGAACCGCTCAAGGACAGTGCAAACACTTTTTGTTTGGAGGTATTCAGTAACCAGGAAAGACCTCTGCTGAGCGGTGAACTGTGGTCGGGCCATTTTACACCACACAAGCTAAGGCAGGAAGAGAGACAACTGCACAGGTGCTGACAGGTTTTATGTCCAGGAATTATGCAATTGGTGTCACTCGAAGCAGAATGGTCCCCTCTACCAAAGGTTATGCCCACATTTTCAAAATTATGTTTTAATTTTATGGCAATTTTTCTGACAGTATCATTTTTTCTGATGCACCCTGTAGTGTACTGAGGCTCATTTACAGCAGACATCACTCCTGTGTTCCAATGGTGAATTCKGTCAGCCAATCCAAGTTGATCATACTGGCTATAGGCTGATTGATCATTTGAACAGCCCTGTCATGTTAACACAGCTGAAAACTGTTGTACTGTTACAGAAGAAGTAAACCTGGTCTTATTTTTGGTAGATGAGTATCTGGAGCATCAGCATTTGTATGTTTGATTATAGCTTCAAAATGACAACAACAAAAAAAATTCTACTGAAACTCATCAGTCTATTTTTTGTTCTGAGAAATGAAGGCTGCTCCATGAGAGACACTGAAGATTTCAGACAACGTTGTCTGAAATCTTTAAAGAATATCACAAACTGTCTCTGACCAGACCAGGAGAAGTAGGAGGCCCGGTGCACAACTGAGCAATAAACACAAAAGTTTCTTTTTTGAGAAACAAATGCCTCAAAGGTCCTCAACTTAGCTTCATTAAATGGTACCAAATCACCAGCCTGAACGTCAACAGTGAAGAGCCCCGATATTACAATCTGACTATAGTTGAATGTATGTATCATTAGTTTAATATTTCTACCTGCTAATATATGATTTTAATCTAACAGACTGTCAAATGAAACAAAACTAAAAACTCCACCATTGTTCTAAACCTCCACATTTAGAAATAAGAAACATAATATCATAACACAACCTATGAAATCCAATTTCTGGTAAAATTATTTCATTTGACCCAAATAAATTTATTATATTTCAACATTAGAAATATAAAAGCCTGCTGTAAAACTTGAACATAATCATACGCCGACATATACATTTCATTTAAAAACAAAACAAAATATATGTAGGCTACAACAAAAACTACAAATAACAAATAAAATGAAAGACAGCAGAAAGAAGAAAAAAATCTTATAACCCCTGCCCGTATTTTCCAGAATATAATTTCAAACAATAAGAATCTTCAAGTAACAAAAAACAGAGAAGCATCTAAAACATTTATTTCTGTGGATCGACCAGCTGACAGAGCTGAAAAATATAAACATGTTAGTTTTAACAAAGCTTAATTAAACTATGAACGTCTTGTTTTACATACAGAACAATAATACAGTTTTAAACTCACCAGGTGAGGCTGTGCAGGTAGAAAAGCTGCAGGTACAACAACCAGTCTTAAACAGGAACAGGAGTTCATTTCATTATTTCTTATTCAACTTGAACGTGGAGGTTTAGCTAACGCTAGTGATGAGCCGGGACATGTCCACTCGCTGTGTTTCACTCTGGTCCTGCAACAACAGTAAGCTGGGGCCAGGTGGGCGGAGTTTAAACAGTTTTTTTTTAACAGGAGAACCCCCTTTTAACCGGATCACACACCGGCTGACTGGTGAGGAACAGAGCCAGCYGCTGCAAACTGCTTTTTTTCTCCTCCCTGTGCCGTGACAGCGCTGCACAACAAGCTCACAGACAGTCGCGCATGGACTCGACAGCGGTATTAAGAGTCTACAAGCAACTTTTCCCCCTCATGCATAAAAAGCTCAAATCAGGGACTTTTCCGGGAACAGTTGTAGCCGGGGACAAGTCATCCAAAACGGGGACTGTCCCCAGAAATCGGGGACGTCTGGTCRCCCTAGCTTATATCGGGAGCGTTTTTAACGGACATTTTTTATGCAGGCCGATAAAATCCGATACTCGTTTTTTGGCTGATATCGGACCGAKATCCGATATCAGTATCGGATTGGGACACCCCTAACATTTACTGAACATTTTCAGTTTCTGACTGAATCATCAGTTGGATAAAAAAAAAATAAAGTTTTTACTCAGCTTCAGTCTGAGCTGCAAGAAACAATAAATGTTTGCTGAAAACAACTCTTCATCAAACATAGACAAGATCTAAAGTTTCTGTGACATTACATTTTTGGAATAAATATGAACAAATATGCAAACATTGATCAAATAATTTAAAAAATCACACCACTGAGATGAGTTGTTGAGGAATTCACATGTGAACTAACAGGAAGTGATGTCAAAGGGGAATGTCTGAATGTAAATATTTAAAAAATAAATGTTACCAATTATTTTAATATTTGAGACAAATCATCCTACTTGGTATGTGTTAACATTTTTAAGACCACTGAAAGATTGATTTAAGACATTTCAAAGCTAATTAAGGCCTTAATTTTGGATTGATGAATTCAAGGCCTTTTAAGACTTTTTAAGGATCCACAGGAACCCTGGTTCAGGACAAGAGTGCAAACTGAACAAGTTTGATGAGTAGAGAACAACTGATCATTTCTCAGTTTCAACTTGAATCAAAGCAAAATAAAAGGCAACAAACAAGAAGGTTTGCTGGAAGCACCTCTTCTTCAAACTAGGGCCGGGCCAAATGGCTGAAAAATGTTTCAGGATAGAGAGTTTCACTGAATCAATTCTGGAAGCTTCTGGAACTTCAATTACCCACGCTCTATTAGGGCTGTGTATTGGCAAGAATTTGGCGRTACGATAHRTATCATRACAGAGGGGTCACGATACGATATCTCCCGATATATTGCGATACTGTAAGCAAGGCGATATATTGCAATTTTTTTTTTCCCATACATCTATTAAATTAAAACCTCTTCCTGAAATGAAAAAAAAAAAGCTAATGTTTACTTACAATGCTAATGCTACCCTTACTCTCTGGCGCTCAAGAGGTAGAGGAGCCAAATGGCTGGCTCACTGCTGCCTGCTAGTGGTCAGAGGCTGAACTACAACATAAAAATGAATGGCTGGCAGGACAGTTGACATTTTAAACCTTAATTAAAAATCGATACAGGGCTTTAGAATATCGATGCAGTATCGGGAAATGAAATATCACAATATTTCGGTGTATCGATATTTTCTTACACCCCTACGCTCTATCAGACATATTTTCTATTCAWATTCATCACATCTTTATCCTGATATATAGTTATTGTTTTATGGCCCAGCCCTGCTTCAAACATGAACAAGATTTAAGACTTTTCTAACTTTTCTCCACATTCTTAACGTTTCATTCTTCTCCTRGCTGTAAAACCTCTTCTAGATCATTTGGTGAACCTTTTCTCCAACTGTGACMGAACAACATCTGTTCAGGCTCTATGAACTCTCATGTGAATTTGAAGATGGTCCTTTCTGGAAAAACGTTTCCTACAAATTTCACAAGAAAATGGTTTCTCTCCTGTGTGGATCTTCATGTGACGATAAAGATGGGAACTTTGGTTAAAGGTTTTTCCACAAGTTTTACAAATAAATGTTTTCATCCCTGTGTGGACCCTCATGTGGACAACTAATTTACTATGAGCAGAGAACTTTTTCCCACAGGTGGGACAACAGTATATTAGTTTATCAGAGTTCTGGTTCTGGACTCTGTTGACCTTCACATGATGGTAAAATAATAATTTACTTGAAAAGGTTTCTCCACAGATTAGACAAGAAAACAACTTCACAGATGTTGCTGATTGGCCTGCTTGGTTACCATGATGACCCTCTGTGTGATCCATCCTCTCATCTGACCCTGAATCCWGATCCTGGTCCTCAGGTCGAGCCGAACTCTGAGAGATGAGCTGCTCCTTGTCTGGTTCTGGTTCACTTTCTTCATATAAAACCGTCTCCAGATCCAGATCAGTCTCCTGCTTCAGGTGGAGCTGATCTTCCTCCTGATTGGTGCAGAGCTCCTCATCCTCTATTTTGATCTGTGGAGGTTCTGGTTCCTCCTGGACCTCAAACTGTGGAGGTTCTGGTTCCTCCTGGACCTCAAACTGTGGAGGTTCTGGTTCCTTCTGGTCCTCAAACTGTGGAGGTTCTGGTTGGACCTCAAACTGTGGAGGTTCTGGTTCCTCCTGGTCCAGGCTGGAGTTCCTCTCCTGCTTGCAGAGCTTCTTGTGGACCGGTTCCTGCTGGAGGTCTGAAAGGACAAAAAGACAAAACAAAGAGATTAAATATGAAACAGAAATGTTCAGACAGTCAGGATCTTGTTGGTTTTTAACTTCAGGAACAAACAAAAGACTCAAAAACTCAGAGCTGAAGAGAAATCTTTTCTTTTTTCTACTTTCAGACTTCAGACTAGAACTGGGCGATTATTTGATCGTGATTATTGATTAAGACARTTCAGGTCGATCACTTTGATCGGCTGTGAGCCTCTTTACTCGATCAAACATGGCAGAAATGTGCGTGACAACAGCCAATCAGAATCCACCTCCTCCTGCTCCACTTCTGTTTATAAGTTGGCAAGAAACACAGACAGAATCGTGGAATTGACCAAACAAAGTGTGAATCTCACAGAATTCTTTTATCTGTGCAGGTTTCTGAATCATTCTGCTTGCTGTCGTTACCTGCTGACAGACACGCAGGGTAAAAGGAGGGAGGGGGATAAAAAAAAAGAAAAGTCACCTGTGATCCACGGCAAACTCACTGAAACAGAAACATCCTCACAAAAATGTCCCAGCTGTTCTTTATTCATCTGGAGAAGAACTTTTCTGTAAGTTCTGTCAGCACATGGTGGGCTGGATGTGTAAGAAAACATGAAGACCATTTCCTGTCTGAGTCTCATCTCAAACAGCAGCTGAGAGACGCTGCAAACTCCTGAACAGCTGGGAGTTTATCCAACATGTTGTTGTGTGTCAGAATCAGATGTTCCTTCAGAAAAAATGAAACAGTTTTGTCCGTTATTTGATTTAAAAAAACTGGAAACGGTGGTGTGTGGGGTGTGTGTGTGGAGAAGGGGTTATC